TCTCTTTTTCATTCCTTCTCTCTCTCTCTCTCTCTCTCTCTCTCTCTCTCTCTCTCTCTCTCTCTCTCCCTCCCCACTCTCTCTCCCTCCCTCTCACTCTCTGCCTCTCTCCCTCTCTCTCAAACTTGCAAAGTGACGCACATAAATAATAAATAAATGCTCCCGGTCTCTGTTGTTGTTTTGCCGATTAAACCTATTGTGAAAGTTGCAAGCCTGTTCATATTACTTATTCATTCATTTGTGAAACTTATGCTCAAGCAAATTATACTAGATCTAGTAAAATGGCTCTCCATGCTTTGTCCTTCAAAATAAAATAACTTAACAATAATTTTATGCCGATTGTTTTGTTATCACGAAATATTGTAAGCGCCATATTGTGGAGTGTGAGACTGTACCGCTACGTACTAATGTAAGTGACAAAAATTGTCATTTTTCACAAAATAAATCGATTTTCTGAAGCAGTGACAGAAAATAATATAATGGCATAAACTCTCTCTATATTTATATTATATATATAAACCAAAGATCAATGAAATATTATGTTCCGTTCATTCACAGCAGGATTTAAAAAATAAATTGCACAAAACTTAAAACCACTGTAGCTCGAACCCCATTTTTGTCGGCTATGATAGAACGTGATTCTGGCGACGTTTGTGGTGCCAAGTTTGCACGTACCTGAAGTCTACAGAATCGCAAAAGAATGTTGTTCGTCCTTAGTGTTTGAAAATGAACATGACTTCACGAATTGGTCTGTTAACGATGACTGTGGGTCCGAAGATGACTCATATGACCTATATTCTCGGAAGTTCCGCCCGAAGTGTGGGCACGGGTAGTCGGATGTTGGAATTGTGATGGAGGCAGGTTTGAACTTGCGCGCCTTGCGTTTTCTTGTGGCTTGTGCGATATGCTTGGCCCCTGCTGCTTTGGCTCCCTTAGTTTGCAGGGCCAGGCGGGGCGATCTAGGGCCAGTGTTTCCCACGAGTCATTCAGGATTCCTAGTTCTTTTAGTGAGACTT